GGCTTTCGCCATGGTCACTCTTAGCTCGCAGCAGATAGCTTTCATTGTGGCCACTCCTAGTGCTGACAGTTCTGTGGCTCCAATACTTATCCTTTTCCGGGCTCCCACTGGGACTGCGGTCAAGCCTGCCTCGCATGTGGCAGGTCCTGCCCTGGCCGCAGTCGAACCTCACTCGTGGTAGATGGCTTTCGCTTTGGTCACTCCCAGTACTCCTAGTCCTGTGGCCCTGATAGTTATTCTCCTCGGGGCTCGTGCTGGGACGAGTATCACATACCATAAGCAACATACGAAACATGACTTCTCTCCCTCTAATATTAGAACAAGTGATAGCCCCAACTCCAGCCACTTTTTCGACACCAGCAATATCGAAAGCACTGGTAATAGATGCCCTGAGCCTTTAGGATGATTCGCCACCTCGCTTGATACTCATGGCCTTATGAAGCAGGGTCATATGTGTCCTAGGTGCCGAATTCAAGGAATCAGATCGTACGCTTATGGTGTTCTGTCCTGTGGATCGTACCTGAAATTGTTATTGAAATCTTCCTGGTTTAGTTTTTTGTTGTGAAGCCTACGGAGAGAAAGTTTCCATATGTATACATTTATTAAGACTCCAGCTTTGTTTCTTTTATATATGTAAGAGCAATATGCATATTAGAGTTTTTAGGAGTGCTGAATTCTTTGCTATTGACCACAGACTTGTAACAACACTAAGGCTCTGTCTCAGATCTAGATGCATCCCGAGATCTCACCAGTAAGTGTTGTAAGACCTATTTCATATCTCAGTACACACCAAGTCCCTCACAGAGAGGCCCCTTAAGTAAACATAAGGTTTACTCATTACGTCCATAACCCTAAAGGACGCCCTTGAGATTACCCATAGCAGATGCCTTATCTTACTCTACAATCGCCATACACGTAACACTATTAACTTATAAACACGTCTTGCACACTAAGTTCTAACTCTGATAGAGCCTCTTTGAGAAGAGAGGTATGTTAGAGTTGAAAGGTCATTTTGCCTAAAATGATCTTCGACCTGCTTTCCAAACTCTGGTCAAAGTCCATCTCTCAACTGGGATTGATGACAGCAGAGGATGGTCACATTTTGTTAGAGCCGGGTGAGTATTGGGCACTCTTGGCTGAGTACTTTGAACAACTGTATAGGGTAGATCCCCCATCTTCACAACTCCCGTTGGCTGGCACACAGCCAGTAGTGGCTGATTCACCAATCAGTTAGGCACCACCTTCCATCGAAGAGGTGAGAAGGGCGGTCTCTAGGCTGAAGAGTGGAAAGGCTGCTGGTGTCTGTGGGACTGCTGTAGAGTTGTTGAAGGTGGGTGGAGAAGCCATGATCTGTGGCTTGCATGCAGTCCTGTCTGCCGTTTGGGGGTCGGGTACCATTCCTCCTTTCTGAAAAGGGAAAGGGGACCAAAGGGACTGTGGCAACTACAGAGGTATTGCATTACTCAGTGTACCAGGCAAGGTCTTCGCTCATCTACTTTCGGTGCGAGTATGCGACCACCTTTTACAAACACAGGGACATCAGCAGTCTGGTTTCATACCCAAGAAGTCAACTGTAAACAGTGTCTTAGCACTTCGTGTCCTTGTGGAACGCTTGTGGAAGGCATGCTTGCAGCTTATGTTGATCTCAAGAAGGCTTTCGACTCAGTATACCGGGAAAGTCTCTGGAGCCCCCCTGGGATTATTAGTTTGCTATCTGTCCTGTATACAGATACCGAGAATGCTGTCAAGAGTGGGGAGGGCATATCTTCCTTTTTCCCGGTGTCTGCCAGTGGCCCCAACCCTTTTCAATACTTGTATGGACTAGATACTTGGCCATGCCATGAACCGTTCCTGTGGGGCATCAATTGGTAATTTCAAGGTCACAGACCTTGACTTTGCCGATGATGCAGTGATTCTAGCAGAGACATTGGAGGTCCTGGAAGTAGCTCTCGAGGCGCTGCATGAGGAGGTAAAGACGTTGGGACTCTGGGTCAACTGGACCAAGACCAAGGTTCAGGAATTCGGGGACTTATTGAATGTCAATGTTCAGTCTGTGCATGCCTGTGGTGAGAACATTGAGGTCTTGGATAGCATCATTTATCTTGGTAGTGTAGTGCAGAGCGACGGAGGTCCTGACCGGGAAGTCACTCGACGACTCAGACAGGCCTACAGTGTTATGGACTCACTCAATGGAGTATTTGGCGCTGACTACGAGAACTAAGATCAGGCTCTTCAGAGCACTGGTGATTCCGGTCTTACTCTATGGGTGAGACCTGGACACTGAATAGTGTTCTGAAGGCCCGTCTTGACTCCTTTGGTACTAAGTGTCTTTGCAGAATCATGGGATATACCTGGAGGGACCATGCGTCCAATCAAAGGATACTCTATGAGACTGATTCAAGCCATATTACCAGTCTGATACGAGAGCGCCAACTTCAGCTCTATAGGCACGTGGCTTGTTTTCCTGAGGAAGATCCTTAGTCATCTCCGAGAGGGTTAACCCAGGCTGGAGAAGACCAAGGGGAAGGTATGGAACTCTTAGCTGAAGCAAGTCGATCAAATCTGCCAAGATGTGCTGGGGGTAGGAAGGAATGCTTCATGGCGGCTTGCCATGAGGAGGTGGAGGCAAAGGTTGGGCACGGCAAAGCACAGCCATGCATATGATGATGATGAATCTGCATGCGTGTATATATTTTGCTTTTGTGTGAAAGAAAAAGTGGTGCTTGTCTGAGATGGAAGCCTCCGGGCTAGTACAATGGTAACGTGTCGGCCTCTCATCCGAGGGGTCGGCGGTTCGCGCCCCGCCCAGGCGCGAGAAGTTGCAATTGTTGCCGAGTCAGCACCAGCTGACACACTGATAGCGAGTCGACATTAGTCGGCACAGGCCGGGCTCCCCCATAGCCCGGGCGAGGCTCAGCTTCGCATATCGGACTTATCCTTATCTGAGATGGAGCGTAGATTGCATTTTTTCCCACTAAGTAATTTTATCGTTTTCTTTAGCCATTATTAATGACTCTAAATGAATCTAAAAAAGAGGATGGATAATATGTCTTTTGTATATCATAGGTATGATCAGACTTTGCACATTTTCTGTAGAATAGTTGACGATATACTACGCAGACTCTCTTTTCAGGTTTATCCAAATGAGAGTTGAATACAAGCTACGTTCACATTGTATGTTAATTAAATAGCATTGTTTTGAAAGATGAAAATCTCACCAATGCATCAAAACGACTTCTTTAACTGAGAAAAGACAGATGATTAACCTACGTCTCCTCCCCTTGCCCCTGCTCCTCCCCCCCAAAGCTTCCTATGTCCCACATGAACTTGAAACGCCGCTCGTCCGTTGTAAAACCTTTCCTACTATCTGTGTTATTTGTTGTCCTTGTTATACTCTTTTTTTTCGTATTAGTGGGTATCTTCGTGCATGTGTATGAGACAGACCCATGTGTGAGTGTTCACACTCACACACATGTATGTATATATATATGAATATGTGTTACAGCACTCAAATTATCACGAATCAACCATCAACCAGGAACCCAAAGCCAAAAGCCATCGCGCGTGTATGTAGGTCTTCGGCAGCATCGCCCCCTTCCTCTTGAGGACGACGCCCCTTGCACCTGCCTCGCCACCTCCCTCGTTCCTTCACATCGGCCAGGGGAGAGGAGAGGGTCCTACCCGCGGGCCCTGTGTTTCGCGTACGCACACTTACAATCAAACTGATACTTACACTCATAGTCACACTTACATCAACATCTATACACACGTCTAAGCGCACCCACACACACACGCACACGTTTTACAAGGTCTATATAAGTAAGATCTCGTCACTTGCCAGTATAAACCGGGCTCCCCAAATAGGCATATCCCGGGCGAGGCTCTGCTTCGCGAATCAAAAAAAAAAAAAAAAAAAAAAAAAAAAAAAAAAAAAAAAAAAATGCCAGTTCGGCGCGGCTTTAGATGATTAGGCCTATGGCGTCCCATGGTGCTAGCTGAGAACATTGGAAAGGCGGGGGGGGGGGGGGTATAGGGGAAGGTGATATTGGGAAACGGTAGCCCACTTCAGCAAAAAAACTAAAGTGTTTTTTAGACGTTACAAGACTGGGAAAAAACTATCACAGGTATGTAAAGACTGACCATATATACAAATTATAATTTCTTTCCGGTAGTTATATATCAAAATACCGTAAAATGATACATATATATATAATTAAAACATGCTTTGTAACAGGTGTATCATATTATAAACCATTTATCGGTAAGTGAATACACTCATCCAAGAAACATATCCTCAAATACTCTCCAAGAAACGTTCATTGGAATAATCAATACACAAATACCTTCATATGTTAAACCTCAATAACAGAAGCCATCGTTCGTTCTACATCCGTAACACCAAAGTCCTTAACCGGATCGTGCAGGCTCTCATAACGCTACGGAGGACGAAGGAAATATGAATAATGTCTTATTTCTTATTTCTTTTTTTGGGGGGATTAAGTTATTCCTATGGAAAACACTATGTATAGAGAGCAGTGAAATCATTTTTTTCTTGTTTTTCCTTGGCAGAATCCTATGTTTATTATAGCTTGTTTTCATTCTTCTTAGTTTCACATTCTGTAATGATGTAGTCTTATATGAAGTATTTTTGACAAGGGACAACAAATGACTGAATGTAAACAATGCTACGTCAAAGGAAATACACGCGGCTGAACCTAACACTTTTCTACTTTCTCGATCAAAGGAATGTCTCCTTTGGTATACGGAAACATCTGTGAAAAAATCATTTGTGTTACAAATACGACCAAGACTACACAAAATCTATTTCCTTTAAGAAAGCATTATATTAATACTAAAAAACTTCCAAAGTCTACGGATGACCAGTGTAATACTACAGGAGTAAACACGACTTGGTAACTTCGAGGAGACGGTCCTGCCGGAGACGTCATGCAACAACAACCGCTCTCGCCCGCTGTTGCTTTGTTGCATGTAGAGGTCGTTCGGAGGTAGACTGTGAAAGAGTCACTGGAAGAAACACTGGATTCACGAGATGCAATTATTTTGATTGCGCCATCATTGATAAAAATAAGGAGAGTGTTGATAGTCCGTGTTATATAATTAAAAAACAAAACAAAAAAAGAAAAAACATTAGTATATTCCACAATATGTCTAGAGGAATTCCAGATATTTGTCCACCGAATGAAATCCTGCATGGTTGATTTGAACATTACAACTGATATGAAATTAAATATTATTATAAGCTAAACATTAGAACCGATATGAAATTATATAGTATGATAAACTAAACACAATGTTGCAAAGTGACTCAAACATGTTAACGGCAGTGATAACAGGTTTGGTGATTTTCACCATTGGACAAGCCTCGCCTCCTCTACTGGTAGCTCAAGTGTCTGATTTATCAGTCCATAATGTCACATCAGTACGGCTAACAACCCAGGATGTACTCAATACAACAGCAAAGCTTGATGCATCCAGTGTGGAGGACTCGGTCTCACAAGTGAAAGAAGCTAATAAAGTGATTCCCGTCGTCCCTGGGCCGTCGTCTTACAGAATCTCTGCTGAAGAACCCGCGTGGATCACGACTGACCCGCCCCACATGGGAGAGTCAGCCGTCAAAGTTTCAACTGATTTACCAGATCTCAACTTCGGCACTCGTTCACCCTTCGTCTCCGAAGATATAAGCACGACTTGGGATTCTGATATAACTACAGATGTGGTTACGACTGCCAGTGATGAGACGAGAGCCACCACGACTGAGGGGGCAACGGAAGGCGGCAGCAAGCGAGGGACAGTCGTCAACTGCTTCTGCGACTCCTACGAAGTTTATGTTGAAGGCGTTTGTCGTTCAAATTCAAATTCAAAGGTAACTGTGATCCAAATACACATTTCTAAAACTGCCCCGGTGATAGATTTCATTCCAACACTTTTATCTTTGTGATATACTTTTCATGAAACTCTTCGAAGTAAAGTTGAGTGTCATTATGAAGCAATTGCATGCTTTCCGATTATATCGTAAGCTATCAATCAAGCTATATAAAATCACTGACCTATCTATTAATATATTTATTGTATATATCAACGATGACGCATGGATGTATGCTGTTAACTACAAGCATTAAAATGTTGAAAAATATCATTATGATTTAATTTATATCTTATTCTTTGTTATATGACCTACATTTTTTCAGAAACCCGTTGCAGAGAAGCGAGTGATAATAAAAGACCTGGAGTGCGACACAGAAAGTGGAGTCATAATGCTTAACTTCTCAAGAGAACAGTTTATGCTAAGAGACCGCGGAGACATCGTGCTGTCGAAAGAAGTTGGGAAATTCGGTGGTCTCCGCATCAAAGATTACTGCATTACTCACTCTTTGGATGAACGCACAGAACGCACCTGGACCGTGAAGGTGTGCGTGGACCCGCCAAAAGTACCACGATGCTGTCCACCAGGCCAAGCCATGAAGGACAATGTGTGTCGGCCGGCTCGTACGCCAGAGAAACTGGAACCCCCGATCTCTGCAAATCCGTATGGTCCAGCTATATCATGGCCCCATATCGAGACCTATGAAAAGCCCCTCAACTGTAGTGTGGAACACATGAAAGATCTCCCACTGATACCCAGAGTCTCCTACTTAGCATCGCACACCAGGGGCTTGGTCCACATATGGCATGCTGAAGAGACCGATTACAAGTTTCAGTACAGATTCGATCCCAAATTCTGCGTTGACGGGAAGCAGAAGGACGATGGATCGGTGTCTTATTCAGTAAAGGTATGCTTCGAAAGTGCTATGGAGCAACATCAAAGATTGTGTTCCGAAAAAGTCTGTGTGAGAAAATGTTGTGCGGAGGGAGAAATAGTGCAAAATTATTTGCACTTGTGTGTTCGGAGTTCAGCGGCAGAGTTTGAGCCGCGCATGAACACTGAATACAACCGCGTGATAGGCAAACCCATATGTGACCGTTACACACACATTACAGACTTCCAATTGTCACCCGCCACGGGGTATCTCGCCACATGGAACACAATCCTACCAGCGAGTTACTACTGCATTGACAAGTTTTCTGATCAAGAAGGCAGGATAAGTGACGGTGCCTTAGCATGCATCAATTTTAGTACATGGGAGAAGGCTCAGGACATCGGGCTCCCAATCTGCATGACCATTTCCCTAGTCTTTCTCCTTATAATCGTCGTCTGTTATTGCACAGCACCAATAATGCTAAAGAATAAAGGATGGTATCACTTGTGTTATGTGGTGTCACTTATCATTGCATATTTCTCTGCAGTCATGTTACAGTTCCTCAGCAACGTTCAGCAGTCAAGCTGTATCGGATTTGGTGAGTCTGCCAATCATGGTGTGTTGAACTCTTATATATTCTTATCATATAATAGAATCTCAGTTAATATTTGAAATGGTTCTATATAAAAGAGATGGAAGCCTTTACTCACTTTATGCAGAATCCACAGACCATTTTTACTAAAACATGACCATCTTATTTCCAGCCATATTAATGCAGTTTGGATATCTGTCATCATTCTTCTGGCTCAGTGTCCTTTTTTTTGATGTCTGGAGAATATTCAGGTAAGTCATGCATATTTAGATAAGAATAAGATACATTCTTTTCATTGAATATATGACCTTTAACGTCTATTAAAAAAATATTGTTTTAACCACAAACCGACCACTAAATCCGATTTTTATATATGTGTGTGTGTGTGTATAAGTACATATATATTAATATGTATATATTGTATATATGTATATATACATCTTTATATTTACATAAACATAGTACAGATATGTAATATATGTATACACATACATGCATACATAAAGATGTATACATACATCTTTAAAGATGTATACATACATCTTTATGTATGCATGTATGTTTATATACAAATTACATATATGTACGTATGTATATGTAAATTTAGATTTATGTAGAAGTCTGTGTATCTTTATATATGTAAAAACACATATATATGTGGACATATATATATATGTATATATACATATACATCTATATATATATATATATATATTTATATATATTTATATACCCATCTATTTATACACACATACATATATACGTATATATACATACATATATATCTACCTATATACATGTATATATATATGCATGTATGTATATGTTTATATATGTATATGCATACGTATTATATGTATGTATATATATATATATATCCCATTGGTGCCGGATATGACGTGTACGTACATGCTATGCCCACCGTGAGTACTTGTTTGTTTTTACGCATAGATGGCAACACTTGTACTAAATCACCAATGAGCCAACTACGAGTACTGCCCGTCTCGCCCGTTTACCCGTTTCTTTGATTTACGAAATATTTTACATTATCTTATTTTGCTGTTACTAATATTAAAAAACATTATAAAAATTATAATGTTTATGATAAAAATAACACCATCGATTTTCATAGCACTAGTGAAAAATACGTTTTTCCCGCCATTTCAAATCAGGCGCTATCAGAGCTATCTATCGGCAGACATTTCACGAAAAACATAGAAAGTGGGCACAGCATTTTCCCCATTTTTTGTTCCTTTTCCCCGGCGGCATTGGGATATATATCGGGTTTGTGTATACATGTAAATATATGTATGTGTATATATACATATAAATATACATATATATGCATACTGCACACACACAGACATTTATATACACATATGCACATATGTATATATATATATGTATATACTTGTATATGTATGTATGTATGCAAGTAAATATATATATATATATATATATATATATATATATATATATATATATATGTACGCATGTATATATATGAAACAAATGTATGTATATATATATAAAACAAAAGTGTATATATATATATATAAAACAAATGTGTATATACACATATATATGTATCTATATATATAAAGTACATATATGTGTATATGCATGTATGTATATATACAAATATATGTGTGTGTCTTTATATATATAAGTACATATATATGTATAATATATACACACACACACACACACACATACATATATAAATATATATATATATATATATATATATATATATATATATATATATATATATATATATATATATATATATATATATATATATATATATGTATGTGTATATGCACATGTATACATATGTATATATGTGTATATATATATATATATGTATGTTTATATGTATAGATATATGTTTGTGTTTATATTTGTATATATATATATATGTATGTATGTATAGATGTGAATAATTGTACATATACATATGTATATACATATACTACACATACACATATATATTTACATATATATATGCATACATATCCCAATGACGCCGGGTGTACTAAAGGAAAATAAAACTCTACGCTCTGGCAAACAAAGGCAGCGCGCCGACTTTGAGCGCCGGAGTACGGGGCGTCAGCCCGAATCACTGGCTCGCCGCGCTTTGGCGCGCCGCCGGCTGGTTTGGCCGCACGCCACCTTTCGAGCGATTTGTTTACACGCGTATCGCCGTCACCCGGCGGCAAGGGGATATATATATATATATATATATATATATATATATATATATGTATATATATGTATATTCTATATGTATATATGTACATGTATATGTATGTATATATTCATAGATTTATGTATATATATGTATATATGTGTACGTGTGTCTGTGTGTGTATGTATATACACACATTTATTTATTTATACATATATATACATATAGGCACATATATATAAATATATACACATATATTCATATTCATATATATATATATTTACATATATGTAATACATTCATATATGTATATATATAGATTAATAGCTATAAAGTGATATGTATACATCTACATTTTTCATTATGATGATGTTATGTAAATATTAGAATATTTCTTTAACTTTTCCACTAATTTACTCCAGGAGCCTCAACAACAGACTGCGTCCACCTCGACCCATTCCTCCCTATGTCTACCATATTTATGCCTGGAGTGGACCTCTTGTGATATGGTAAGGAAAAAACCTCTTTTAACGAAGATAATTTCTAAAATATCTGTTAAATGTTTACGATTTAAAAATCTGCCATCACATTCTGCGAAAAAAAAAACAACACGACCTTTGTAATATTTACATGTGAAGGTTTATGAGAGAGATTACTAATTTTTCTTCTTGTCAGTGGAATTTCATTTTTTTTGGCCTCTCATTTCAGTTCAGTCACACTGGGTTTGCAGTATGTGGATGCAGATGACGTTCCTTCTTGGCTCATTAAACCGCATCTAGGGGAATACAGGTGTTGGTTTGGAAGTAAGTAGTTCATATAATGTACATATGTATAATAAAAAAGAAAATATATAGTGTTTTTAAATCTAACTTGCTGAATAATTCGTATTACATTTTGATCTTTACTCGGCATTCTATTTTTGTATGGGCAATGACTATGTAACAAAAAAAACATTGATTTCCAGAGGGTATGGAGGAGCTTGTGTTTTTCTATCTGCATATTGCCATCCTGTTATTTGCCAATTGTCTCTTCGCTGGTCACACATACTGGGTCCAGAGAAAAATGGATGAAAGTTTGGCGGCTCTTAGAGCTGACAAAAACGGAAATGGCGAGAGAACTGCACCAGTTGTCCACAGCAAACGGAACTACTACTCTGAGTGAGTACAGTAGTTTACTGTCAGTATAGATGTTGGTAGAAAATGCTCAGTACATACATATACATTGATACTTCCTTGCTTTACAATTGGTATCATAGATATTTTGTTATGTATTTCCTTTACAGATTCAAAACAAAGTTCTTGTTACTGGCTCTCATATCGAGTTGCTGGGTGCCAGATGTTCTGTCTTGGCAAATTCCTTCAGTAGAGTTTAGGTGAGTGATATTAGGTTTCCTTGTGCTGATTATTGTGTTAAATAATTTCAATGGCCATATTTAACAGGGGTTTACCGCACAATGTATCAGTCCATTTGAAAATACTTTAATACTGTATTATAAATGGTTGGATTAGGTATGGTTTATATGGAATTTCGAATATGAGTTTGAAACTTCTTTCATTCTTTAAAGAGATTAAGACTGATGTCAGCGTTAATTTTTCAGGGCTCTCACTAATATATTGAACACACTCCAGGGTTTCTTCATGTTCGTCATTTTCTTGCATGACAGACAGAAACGGCAGCACCTCAAAGAGAAATTCCCGAACCTTTTCAGATTTTTCGAGAACATCTTCAGTAAACTGAAACATTTTCTTAGATGTTCTTCCTGCTCAGCAAAAACGTTCTCGCCGTACACTTGCATCTCAACACTCAACAGGAAGCTTTCCTTGTCATCCATTGTCACAAATCTCTCGACTCTTTTATCCTCCATCAAAATAACTTCCACATCCGTATTCAAAGTTGACAGTGACAGGCGCTCTCCACAAAGATCCGAGTCGTTTGACAGTGACAATGGCATCATTACCCTCTCACACACTCCCATATCGCAAACGAGAAGCATATCTTCAAGCGAGAGTGTCAGCAACGCCTCCCAGCGAACAAGCTCTCTGGACTTACGTGGGCCAACTTACTGAAAAAATGTTAGAATATAGTTTTTGCCAGAACTCATTACCTGTTCGTATTTTTAAAACTGCGAATGTTGTGTACAACTCTCTCCCACGAGGAATTTCATGATTCCCATTTTTTATCTTAAAATTCACACTTATCATATTACAATGGACTCTCAATGATAGACTGGAAAACTTAACAATTCTCCAGTATACTAAAAAATAAGATAAAATAGTAAATAGATAAATAAATATTTTTCTAAATGAGGAAATCTGAAATCAATTAACTCAAGTAATGCTCTGCTTACGTTCTATTATAATTGTTTTACATCTCTATCTTTAGTAACTAAGCACTGAACTGTACCTATGTAACTAATAAAGAAGATTTTTTTATTCATATCATGCCATGAACACCGACTGGAACCATGATGATAATACGTTGTGAAAAGTACAATAATTTGCATATGGATGTCATTGCGTGTATGTGTGTTTAAGGCCGGGGTGGCCGACCAGTGCCACACAGTCCACATTTGGCACACTGGATTACTAGAAGTGGTTGGAAGTACGGCAGCAAGCACTGAGTACTTTTAGCGATTTTAACATTGCGTTCAAATCCTTTTCGGCAAATGCGCTCTTTCGTGATGTGTATTTAGTGAGAGTGTGCGTAGTATAAGAAGGCCTAAAATCATATTGCAGCGAGAGGACGGGGGGATTAAGAGGAAGAATGTTTCGCTTATCATGTATGAACATTGATTGTGAATCATGAAATGTGTTCTTAAAAAGTACAATGAAGCTAGTCTTTGACAATTTTATATACATATTGTGTTCATTTTATTAGAGTGATTTTAAGGAAACGTGCTATGCGTCTGCTGTTCATATCACAATACTGTTAAGTCATATTAATGTGTGTGATGTTTATTTAAGATGTAGATCAACATATAGATAGTATATTTATATGCCACGTCTCTATATTTTGCTTTCATTTATTAGCCACACGAGATAAATGTGTTTGTATCAAATTCTTTACCAGATACTTTACATAATAGATGATTACAACTATGCACTGCCTTTATTTTTCGTATAGATTCATTTTTATTTTTAAAGATGTGTTAAGATATAATGTCCGAAGGGGAGGAGTTCTGAAAATTTTCATTGGTGCATATTAGATTACATGGAATTGTAAATAAAGAGTAATTTCATATGACGAGTGTCATAGCAGGTATGTGCCGATATCCAGCGATTACCGTGGCCTTGGAGCGTTTGGCGCTTCGGCAAAGGTCAACGAAATTCCTCCAAATTATTCTGGCAAAACAGAGGCTAGACCGGTTCCTTAATGGACCATTATTTTCTAGTGAGGCCTACAATAACTATATAAATGGCAGATTCAATATTTCACATGTAGCACAAGTGTCACTGCAAGGGGGGGGGGGGGGGTCATATGGTTGGGAAACTTTGGCGCACATGGCTGGATTTTCTGTGCGAAAAGTAACATGACTTATGAATGGTTACTTATGCATAAGCAAATACCTCTTTCATTTGCTCATTTACCACTGGCTTGCAATAAATAGGTATAGGAAATACTTTAGTCCCTCTGTAGTTTACTCAACTACAGTACAACCTCATTTCCACTGTTTGCCGCTGTTTGCCGCTGTTTTGGCCAATCACGGATCAGTATTTGCCGCAAGGTATCTATGGCGAATTTCCGCTAGATATGAGTTTAAAAATCAAGTAGCTGATTACTACAACAAATACCTTTTCCTAAATAAAGAAAAACTTATCGTATAATTTCATATTCCAGTGCAGTTTAGATGGCAAAAGAAATTCTGTGGTAATTCACTGCCAGTTTGAAGACTGAGCTGGCTAAGCATAACATTGCAACAGCACTGAAATACAGCATTGCTATATTGCTTCAATTAATGAACCAATAGAGGCAGACGAAAACATCACCCCCTACCCCTTTGTATGTAGGTAATTTATAGTTTTTTTAAACTTATCAAATTTCCTCAAATTAATTTAGTGCACTCAAACGGACCTACACACAAACACAATAAATGCATACATAAATATATGTTTATGATATACATGTGTATATATATATATATATAAATATATATGCATACACATATACATACGTATGTGCGGGCGCGTTGTATGTGTGCATGTGTATGTATGTATCCATATACATATATACATATCATACATGTATACGTATCCATCTATATGTGTATATATACACACACTCATAGATGTAGTTGTATGAATATTATATATGTATATATGTATGTATGTGTATACATGCATACATATATACATATATATGTGTGTGTGCATACATACATATATATATATATATATATATATATATATATATATATATATATACTCTACATATACATATATCTAATTATCTGTTCATCTATATATGTATATATATAATACACAAACATGAATGTAGGTGTATAGATATGTATATGTATATGCATGTGTGCGTGTTTGTGTGTGTGCGTATATGTATATCTATCTATCGATCTATATATATACACATATATGTATATGTGTCTATCTACCTTTATATGTACACACACAAACATGTACACACACACACACACACACACACACACACACACACACACACACACACACACACACACACACACATATATAATATATATATATATATATATATATATATATATATATATATGTATGTATGTATTAAGAGGGAGAGGGAGAGAGAGGCACATGCATGCAGAAACACACACACACACACACACATATCATAGATATCATATATGTGTGCGTATGTGTATATACATATACGTATCCACTTATCTCTATATGTACATATGTGTGTGTTTGTATTAAAGGAAAGAGAGAGATAAAGACGCATATACCGTATCACTTGCAGCACAATTCTCTCTTTCGAATACCCCGCCACTCGTGCGAGCCTTAGTTGTGTGTTGGGGGGGGGGGGAGCCACCGCCTCCTCTGTCTCCTCGAACCACGAGGTACCACGAACATGAAGGTATTAGAAAACGCGAGGCATCGGAAGCAGCAAAACATGAAAACGAAGGGAGGAATTAAAACGAAGGGCACCAAAATGCACTAGGGGCAGCGAAAAACACCAAGGCACCAACATCTTCGGGTACTAGAAATACCAGTGAACGAACAAACAAACAAAACTCACCAGAGAACCCAGGAAAACAAACCACAGGGGACGAAATAAACACAAAGAGAACCAAAAATATAAATGAAATGAAATTACAAGCTAACTTTCTATTTCACTGCCATTCAACCTTGCAGTTATTCCTTGTTTCATTTACTTACATTCTAATATGTGAATCTTTGGTGTCGATTTAGTTTCATACATATGGCAATTCTTTACAGTACAGACGCACTAGTCAAAGACTAAAGGCCTATTTTGTAATATTTCCGAAACACCTAACAATCTGATACATGTTTGCCCTTTACGCGTACATTATTAGAACATGTTAAAACACTTTGCATATTGTATCAAGTTCAAGGCTTACATTTTGATACACTCCAGCCAGCCAATCAGTGCGCGATATGTTTCAGAAATATGTCATGTTTCTGTGCCTCTTTAGCAGTACATCAACTACAACTGACTCTATACGGGTAAGATTTGAAGTTAATCATGACGGTCACTGCAACGACGTGGTAAGAATTTCCAACGTATCCCTGTTATGAGACGTGGTATTGATTTCGGTGAGATGAATGTCTTCAGAATCTTCAGACTCAAAAATATCGAAGAAAATTCTGTATATATTTTGTTGATATATTTCAATCAATAAGTGATCATAAGAATTCACTCGCGCTGGATACGATCAGATGCAAAAAGCTTATGCAATTTCCACTTTTCATTTCATATGAAGAACAATTTATAATATAAGGAAAAAATATTCTGACAGAATCCGAGAAATACATTTAAACTTTCGACAGCCTTGCGAAGCAGAGAGTGGTGTATATAAACAAAATAAGTTGCAGAGTAGTCAGAGTAGGTACTTTTTTCTTTTTATTTGAAGTTTTTACAATGTCTTGCTTATAATTAAATATCATACCAGCATATTCTGTACTTTAATAGTTTTCTATTGACTTTCTTCATGTGAAATGAATAAAAAAACTTTTTTCCAATACTTTGTATGTAAGTACAAACTTAGATGATATCGTGTTTTGAAGCGACCGTGATACAATTTGAAACAATGCATCAAAGTGTTAAGGGTTCGGGATGCGACAAAAAATAAACTGCGTCGACAGAGGGAGCACTGAAGGCTGGGCCGCAGTCCCAGGTGCGGACACACACACACTAATATATATATATGTATATATATAGATAAATAAATATATACACATATATGTATAATATATTCACACACACACACACACATATATATACATATATACTGATATACATATATTTACCTATATACACATACACACATATATATATGTACTTATATACACACATGCACGCACGCACAGACACACGCACACGCGCGCGCGCGCGCGCACACACACACACACACACACACACACACACACGGAGGCACACATATATATCTACACATATATACTTATATATGCATATATATACATATATTATAATATATATATGCAACATTTATATATATATATATATATATACATATATATACACACACGATTATATAGGCCTACATATCTGTACACACAATTATATACATATCTGTACACACAATTATATACATATATATACATATAAATACATACGCATACATATACATCTAAAATGTATATATACATATATATATATATATATATATATATATATATATATATATATAAACTTAATTGTGTATGTATATATATTATATAATACATACATATCTTTATGTAATCGTGTATATATATATTTATGTATGTGCGTGTGTTGAATATGTATATATATATATATGTATATATACATATATATTATTACAATATTTCCAAACTCACAGCCTGTGCGTCCCAAAGTGCGTTCGAAAAAATGCGAAACTAGTGTCCGTTGAGCATGAGGATTCGCGAACCCGAGATTTCGAAGAGTGTCTCGATTGAGCTGCCATTGTATTCTTCACTCTCGGGTACACGGGTAACTCTGAAAATTAGTGTTTCGTACATCTGGAACCTAATACTCGTAGCTGCTTCTAAGTATACTGGTGAAGTATATACTTTCTTATCCATGTATTGGGGTATGAGGTGGAACAAAAGGGAAATAAGTGATAGTGTTATTGTTGTTAATATAATGTTATGCGGTAATCCGGTTTTCTGCGGGGAAAGGAGTGCAATAAAATCGCCTTGAGGAATGCGATAGAAATTATATTTGTCAGTAGTTTTTCACGTTAAAGTTACCGAGAGCGACGCACAGATAAAGAGGAAAATGGACACTGCCATCTTATGGAGGATAAAAAAAAATATTCACAAGCAACACAGGTACAGTTGCGGAATAATATTTCAGTACACTTGCTGGGTCCCACTTTTGTACATCTGGCAACAACATCGATGTAAACATAGAGTTAATAGTATTTTTTATGAATGAGCCGAAAACCCAAGGACGTAAGGCAGAATGTCCCATTGCTTTCAACACAATTTTCAACTATGTATATTTCTTGAAACATGAAAACGCTTCATTCTTTAAACATCTATGTATGGCAGCTAAATGAAATAAAAATCTTTGCAAAATCGTTACAAATATTGGACAATATGTTGTATAAGTTAGTAGCAGAGTTAGGTAATAAAATGTATATGAAATGATAGAATAGTGCAAACTAAGACAAAGTTCTTCTATGGCAATGTGTGTGCAAATGCTTCCCAAGGGTGCTATATGTAAAAGAACAGAGAAGATCCTCCAATTCGCTCATCCTGTTTACACGGTGAGGGTGAATTCTAGACTGACTAGATTTTGGTAATTCTCAGTGTCTGCTTTTCCATATCTA